TATGAAGAACAACTAAAAATTTATGTTTGCTTCTTAATAAACTTTTGAAACAGACAACAAAAATAAATTATCACGCATAACATCAAAATTATTAATCAAGAATTCACGATGCAAGGATGATGGAATTAAATATCATGGAATCTTTTATATGACTACTTGTGTATATTACGTTCTTCATCTACTTAAGAAGTTTTCTATATAGACGATAATAAATTGTAAAGAGAGATGGTAATTATGAATTATAGTTGTAAGAGAAAATGTTAGAAATTTTAAAATTAAAACTACAAGTTTGATTAAATTTCAATATTTCCACTGTAAAATTAAAAAACTAAATTTCATCTGCAATATTCCCAATTTTACTTTAAATTAAAAAATAAATATCCTTATTAAAATATAAATTTAAAATAATAGATGTTTCATTAAAACAAGCACCAATATAATTATTTATAGGAATATTTTATTTAATATATGTAGTATATGAAGATATTAATCCGATAAGATTCGATCTCATTATTATGACAATTAAAATAATTTCAAAATTAAATCTCTATTCAACAAAACACTTTTACATACACACATATACAAAATAAATTAAATTCCGAAAATAGACAATAATTATTTCATTAATGTAGAACAATGTTGTTATTGTTCATACACACACTATATACATATATTAATTAATATTACCTTATAATTTATTGTGTAAAATATTAAAATTATTAAATTCAGTTCATTATTGTCAGAATATGATTTTATTGAAATTATAATACAATTACATCAGTATAGTGTCGTTGATATTTCTCTTAACTAACAGTAACTATATACATATTGAATATTACTAGCTATTAATTGAATTATATGTATGTATATTTAAAATAATACTAGTATACACAATGTGTAAAATAATAAAATTGTTTTTATATAGAATTTTTGGAAATCATAAATTATAAAAATTTATAAATAAAATTTACTAATGCACTTCAATTATGCAAAACATAAATTTTCTTAATTTTTTAAATAGGGGTGAATTTTTTGAATATTCGAGTTCCAAAATTTTACAGAATGGCCACCTAAGCACGCTTATTCAAATAATTTCGGGTGTCAGACAGGAGTGTTCTTTATCACCATTCCTCTTGACAATGAATCAGGTAATTGATTATTCCCTTCCTTGAGCACTTTCATCTTTTGAACTATATCATGATATTAAAGTTACAGGAGTCGGTCCTAAGATCAACACTAACAAAACTAAATGCTTAAGATTGAACATAATCGATAATACTAGGCGATCACCAAATTAAGATATGCTCCAATTGAACTACCTGGGCAGAATCATGGCAGACGATGGAAGAACGAAGCAAGATATATATCAAAGGCTATTAAAATCAAGGATGGCCTTTGCCCAGATATGAGCCGTATGGTAGTCATCCCACTTAGGAAAGAGCATTAAGATCACAATATTCAATGCTTGTGTAAAATCGGTACTTTTGTTCGACTTTGATACCATTAAGGCACAAGCATATTTCAATAGATGCTTAAGAACAATATGTTTAAAATTCTGGCGATTACTGCCTATAAACTAAAGAAGGTATAGATGGTTGAGACACATCGTTGCGGAGGCCGAATAATATGATAACCAGACAGTTGGAACCCACAATGAAAAAAGAAGATTGACAGAAGCCGTAACACGTAATATGATGAGCCACATTTAAAGAGGCCTAATCAAATGGAAAATGTTGGTTAGAAAAAAATTGCCTGGTAGAAAACAATTTCCCCATATTGTAATATGTAATATACTTAACGTATCCTGCACATTGTTTCCATTTTAATCCTATACATCTATTCTACTTTTATGTATGCAATCGATCCTTTTAAACTAAAAATACAGTGTTAAGTTCATATTCCAATTGTTTAGTCCCAAATTTCCACTCACCTTGAAATAAATTGGTTAATTCAGCTTATCAGGAATTTCTTAATTTAATTTACAATTCTATTTGCAGGAGCTAAAAAAAATTTATCTACAAAATTTTGTTTCATTCCACATTTTTGAATTTTCGTATATACATTAATATAATTCCCAATTATATACATATTAATAAATAAATAAATTCGCAATTATATTACTATAATTACAAAACATTAAAAACATCTGACACCCTAACCACAATAAAATATTAAATTACTTGTAATTTTTTACTCTCTAAATGACCGCAACAAGTTTTTTTAATTTAATAAAATTTTTTCAATTAAAATCAACCCCAAAATTATAAATTTAGGTAACCTACTACATACATACATTTAAATAAATAAAATAATAATTATATAAAAATCTAATTAATGGAAATTCATTTTTGATTGTAAAATTTCAATTTAAAAAATAATTTTACGTATTCAAAGAAAAAAACTCTACAAAGCCTAGAATTCCCTGAAAATTAATTAATCTCTCTGGAAATATTGAACATTAACTAGAATTTTTCATACATTAGAGATTTATTAAAACATAAATCTTAAAAAACTAAAATTTGTAATTTAGAATGGAATTTTTTAACTATTAAATAGTAATAAATAATAAAATCGAATAAAATTTTAAAGAAAAAGAATTAAAAGCATAAACCTAAAAAAAATCTATGGAAAACTTTTCTATCCCTACATCCAAGTTTATCGCAAATAAAACAAATGGCGACAAATACCAAATAAATTCACAATATTAAAACAACTGTTATACGCACGACATAAAAAAGCCAAAATAATATAAGTTTGATATGTTATATACTCCCGGTATTTGATATTACAAATAAAAGGTTGCCAACTTTTTTCAAAATTTAATATAACTGAAAGAGACCGAATCACTTCAATAAAAAAATCCTGTAAATTATATTTCCAAATATAGTAGAATATATTAAAGAAACTAAAGCAATTTCGAAAATTTTTTTCAAAACGGAATATCAACTTTATCGAACCCAAAAATCCAAATTCGAAGTCATCCAATATGATTGTAATATATAAACTTTTATGACTAACACCTCGCATTAACAAAATACTAAAACTTAAAATAGCAAAAGAAATTTATAGAAAACCAAAAATATCCTTATCGACAGGAGAATATAATCTCCAAATACAAATAATTGAATTATATTGTGTAAAAGTTGAAAGGATTTGTTTTACTATCAAAATACACAAACTTCCTGAAAAAAGAAAAAAAAAAAACAAAGACCTAAATCCTTTTGTGGAAAAAAACATAATAAAACTTATTTTACCTATGATTTTATGTATATATCAATTTGATTATTCCCTTCCTTGAGCACTTTCATCCTTTGAACTATACCATGATATTAAGGCTATATATCAATCTATATTTATATATCAAAAATGTTATGTGTTATACATATATATAACTTTGATAGTTGTTATACACGGTGGTGTAAAAAACACTAACTATGATATTTAATCATAGTATTCCATTTAAGAGCATACAATAATCTAAGTGCTAAAAGTAATCTCTTTATGCTATTTTTTATAGGAGTATTATATTGAAGCTCTCATATACAAGAGTACAACACTTTTAGGAGTGCAAAGAAATATATGAGAGCGGTAGTAACGCACATTTATTCCAGTAGATAGCTTCACGTTATGATGTGAGCAATAAACTTTACATTCATACATTTTGTAGGTTAGCTACTGTCTCTATATAACAGAATTTCATTCACTCAAAAAAATATTCCAACTACAATTCCAATTTAATGGAATATTAAATTTATTCACTCATTTTTATGCCACTCAATTGAAATTTATAAAAATTTTTGACTTTTTCGATAGATTTAACAGACTTTATAGGATTAATAGAAATATACAAAAAAAAAAAACAATATAAAAAATTTTTATAGAAAAGTGCAAAATCACATCTTACAATATATTGAAAGTTCTTTCTTCTCCTAATCTTATATAGTGTCAAAATCTACTTCACAGATTTCAATATTTGAATACTTTTATACGAAATAAAAAAAAAAAACAATTTGGAAACTAAAATTCCAAAAAAAGACTCCCCAGAAAGATAAACAATAAGTCAAATATTCAACATTTCTTTTAATCTCATTGCCAAATGGCAACTGAAAAATTTGAATTGAATGGAACATGTCAAATTTATTGCACATTTTAAAGATTTGAAATGTATCAGAAATTTTAAAATTAAATATTTAAAATGAACTGGAATTAATATAGAATCAAAATCCAATTCAATTCAACCAAATTAAGCTTTGTGCACTATATATTTTTAAACGGAACATATAAGCAATTAAATCATTGGCAGTTTGACACAAAATAAAATTTCACTTCCTAGAAGTATGCAATCTTGAACTTTTATAACGAAATCACATTAATAAACATAATAATAATAATGATGACGAGGCCTTTTCAGAAACGCCGTATATCGCGTAAACTGCGCTACACCAATGTTGCTAATGTAATTTTTCCATAAACATTACTAAATTTTCGCAATATAGCGAAATTAGTATGAGCAGCGCATTTAAATTATACGAACTGTTTTGATTTTATAGAATCAATTATGTAGTTAAAAAAATATTGCATATATATCGTCTTCTGTTTGTAGTATTGCATTTCGCAGTTATTGTTTTGCACTATTGCGTATGTTTAGACTCTTTTCAAATAATTACTATAATCCCAATATATTATATACCATTAAGTACGGCACGAAACCAAAAACGCAACAATGATTTTTGAAAAAATAATTTTTAATGTAAAATAAATAAATAAATAAAAAAGAAACAAAGAAAAAATAATAACAATTTTCCTCAAAATAACAACCAAAAACAAGAAAACGAAACGAATTTTCTTTTATTTTCCTTTATTCTGTCCCTAGACTTACGCTACACACAACTAATTTTTTTTTTAATAATTTACTTATTGTTGTTTCACCAATCAGTGACCGCACGTTGAACAATATTTCATTTTTATTTTCATTCAATTCTCTCTTAATTTAGTATTGGAATTGAGTGGCTGCCAAGTAGGTCAGCAGTTTAGAAAAATAAAAAAGCAGTCGATATCATCTTTCCTTTCGACTAATAGAGCAAAGTAGTGTAAAAAATCTTTAAAAGAAAAAATTAAAAGAAAAGAAGAATCCTTAGCGGTTTTTCACAATTATTTTCTCTTTATCTATTCGCCTTAATTTTTTCTTATTTTTAGTTTTTACATTTTTGCTTAAAAAATATAAGACTTGCTGCTATTATAAACTTTTGGTGTTCTATTCTATAGAAAAATAAAGCGAAAAATAAATTCGAAATTCTATTTAACTAGTGGAAAAATAAAAAACAAAACTATGACAATACACAAACGTAAGATATAAATATAATAAGTACTGAGTGGTTCACCTTAACTATTAAGTTGTGTTGAAAAATTTGTAGCAATCAATAAATGCTTGTCCACTTATTGTCCATACAAAAAACTTGAAGTGACCTAATGGAATAAATTAGCGTAACTACTAAAGTATTCAGTGTATAATACTTTCAACTACTAATGGAAAGTGTTATACTCTGGAAGTACAGGTGCTTGTGTTAAAACGTATAGCATTCAACTTATACTGGTAGTTGCAAGATTTATTTTCCGGAAACATAAGTAAGTGTTGAAACGTATAACACTCCAAGTATAACACTTTCAACTACTATACTCCAGATCCAGATATAGATTGAAATGTATAATGCTCCAGAGTTTTTCCTTCATGTATAATACTGCTTCAACTACCAGTTTTAAGTATTTTAGATAATCAGGACGCGTATAACAGTAAAGAGTATAACTCTTTGAACTAGTTGAAACATACTCCATCCGATTTTTAAATTATATTCCTGTAAAACGGAAGCAGCAATTAAATTAATTTAAACTAAAAAACGACATGAGTCAACCTCTCTTAAATCAACAAATTTTTTTTTCTAAACTTACAAAGCGAAATTGCTTTATCATGCACAATTAGTGTGGTGTGGAACACTTCCTACATATAAAAATTTCATTTTCTTAAATTGTTTATTTATTTTTGTACAATATTTATGTTTTCAATATTTTTGTAAACACACACACACCATTTTTAATCTTATTAAAATTTTGTTAACACTTGTATTGCATTGTCACAACGTCAAACAAGTAAAATAAATTATAATTGCGCTATATATGTAATTTTAGTAAAAAAAAGTAAAAAGAAATTAATTTTTTTTTGCAATGAAGCTCGATTCAAAATCGCGTAATTTCCCATTGGATAAGATTTTGGCTTTGTACACTTTTCAAAAACGAAACCAATTTTATTGTTATTCATTGAAGTGAAAAATATTAACTTGGACAACAACAACTTTTAATGGTAACTTATAACATTACCAGATATAGACCTTTAATAAATTTTTTTAAATTTTTTTTTAATAATTGAAAATTTGTTTGGCCAAATAATAATTATCAGACGTAGGTAAAAGAATATTTGAACAAAATAATCTGCTTATATAGTCGGTCGTAATTAAAAATTGGAATTTTGCAGGTGACGATGGAGTTACACTTATTACGATATCAATTTACACGGTACTTTAAACTGACATAATATTCAAATAACAAATAATTTTTTAATTATTTTAAGGTTGGAAAATATCTTATGTGTTTACTTGGATTTTTGATTGTTGTAATAACATTATCAATTTATTACTTATCGCAAGTTCTAAAAGATGAAAATACAAAATTTACAATTAAACAATTAGATGGGGAGAATATCAATCAAACAAAATATGAAAGAATTTTTTAATAAATATTAATTTTTTATTAATAAAATTCAAAAAAAAATTATTGTTATGTTAATTATATAGTTAGTGTGTTTATTAATTAATTGTAAGCATTAATTAAGTTCTGTTTACGAATTTTGTGTTACACATACATAAATCACAAAATTTATTACAGTAATTTTTCAAAAGATTCACGTTCCAGCACGGGCTATTTTAATATTGTACATACATAAATTAGAAGGGTAGGGTTATCACTTGCCCAAATTGGGACAATCTGGTGACGTTTCTGGTGACAATCTGGGAATTTGTAATGGTATGAATTGCATTATAAACCTAGCTGGCTCTTTACAAAGGATAGCACTCTCGACCCTGCCTCTAATCCCTAGTCCTATAGAAAGCCCATCAGCATCCCTCCACGTCACGCTTCTCACCATTAAACCCTTTCAAATAACCTGACAAAATTCAGCATATCATCCACGGGCGCCCCCGAGAGTTCCCCAATCTATAAACCCGTATAATCCTTCCAGAAAGCGTCTCGTTGTTTTTACACAAGTTCGCCCGCCATTCCAAAGTAAGTTCTCCTTCCTTCTATTTTCTTCATCTATAATGTTTTTCGACTCCCCCAAGGCGGAAGCACCGAACAATTTGTTGCCGTTAATTAAAGTTACTTAAAGTTTATATTTAATAATTTCATTTTTTATTGAATTTCTTTATTACACTTTCATTACAAGCCCCTCATTCCCATTCATATATATCAAATTGCCATAGTAAATAAATATTTTAAAGTAATTCAACTTTGGTCCTTCATTAAAAATTTATTTGGATGAAAAAATAAAATGAAAAAATTTAATTAATTCTAATCACAAGAAAATATTTTTTTTTTGTTTTTCTAATCCTTAGAGACCAAAAAGAAAAACGAATCCTTTTTTTTGTAAGGATCCTTTATCCTTAAGTAATTTGTCTACAATTTCCAAAAAATAAAAAATCACCATATAATTAGGTACGCGAATATTCCGCAAGGCATCTATCATAAATTGCTCAAATGTAAAATTGTTGCCTATAACACAAAAACTGATTTTCATTGAACTGGAAATTAAAAAAAAAAAGAAAAGATAGAACAATTTATTGACTTCATTAATTTTAGTTATTCCTTGTATTCATTGTAAGATGAGAGAGGATTTCATTCAAAAATTTATTCCGGTCGCGAAATTTAAAGGGTTAAAAATTAATTGTTCATTAAAAGAAGACAATAAGCGAGTTACGAAAAAAAATCCTTTCATAATTGTTGTAAGACAAATTGATTGATGCCCGCACACAAAATAAGTTAATCAGGCAATTCCTACCCTTTAATCAAGTGTCAAATATAGAATAAAAAAAATTTGTTACATTAAATTGCGCCATATTGATTTAAACATAATTAAGTAATCTAAAAAATTAATAAAATTTATAATTCAAATAAATCAAAACATTGTAGTCGATCAAATCCGTGAACAGAGAAATTGCGTTCAAAGGAATTAAAATATTATTTGATACATGTACCTACAAACTGCTAAAATTTGAAACATGTAGGAGTTGCCGTGTGGAAAAAATTAATAAAAACTGGAATATTTAGGACTTTGTAGAGCGGCGACTTTCTTAATTTACTATCTTAGTAAATTTATAAACAGACGTACTATATCTAGTAAAATAAATTTCTCATAAATTCTCTATTTATTGTACTAAATTGTCAAGCTAGTCAGAATTATAATACGGTATTTCAACAACCAATTATACACACATACTCATACAAATTTCAGGAAATTATAGATTTTTTAAAGAGATTAAAATTTAAACTACTTGCTCAAATATATTGGCCTAATATTATTTTTTTATTAATTGTTGTAAATAAAGAATATTAAATTTTAGTTCTAATTTTTTTGGATATTTTTACTAAAATTAAAGTGTACAGCATACTTTCTTGACGTACCATAAATTTTCCAAAAAAGATAATGAAGAAAAAAATTAAATTGGCCAATAATTTCTCGGATGTAAATGTACAAGATCTAATTGACTATATTTCAAAAAGTTTTAGAACTATGAATTTTGTATAAATGTATTTTATTTTGGATTTAATTACAAAAAAAAAAATTAATATTTTTTTAATCCTTAAATTCAATTTATATTCTTGTCATCAAGCATATAATAGCAATACAAAGCTATGTATACATATTTCAAAAAATATAATTTTTATAATAAATTTTTGTCCAACAACTTTGCAAACGTCATATTTTACTTATAATGCAAATAATTCATTCCTATAAAGAGAAAAAGTAAAATTAATTTTTAAGTGCATGCACAATGGCTCTTTTAACAAAACTGACGAAAATACTTTTATGCTCTATAGGTTCTATGGCAATTAGTTTATATATGTAGGTATATGTATATAAAAAATTACTTAATATTATTCATATAAATTAAATACAGAATAAAAAAATTATTCTCAGAGAAATTAAAACGTTAATACATTCTCGAAGCGATTAATAAATCGATATAACCGAATATCGATAATCGATATAAGAAATATAAAGATAATGAGTAAAATGAGAAAATGAACCGTAACGTCATAATGAAAAGAATATTGACAATTTGAAACAAAAAAATTGCATATTTTGATGTTAATTTATTTTCAAGCATTCTTTAAACTTTATTATTTGAAAAGTTATTAATTTATTAGAGTTTCTTCGTATGTTAAAAGATGTCGCGCTTTATACATAAATCGTAAAAGAATCCATCTTGCGAATTACACATACGTATACATATATACACAAAATTACACTATTTATTTTTTTGTTATAGTTGAAGAAAATAAAATAAGAACGGATCCAGGAAATTGAACTTCCCTTAAAAAAAAAGAAAAAATTTAGTTTTCAACTATAGTAAAAGCTAATGTAAAAGCAAAAAAAAAACATATTTATATTATGAAGGAGAAATTAAGAAAAGTAAAAGAAAATTTATGACCTAAAAAATGTGTAGAGCATATAAAAAGAAGGACATTTTTTGTAGTTCTTTATTCTCTATTATAGATTCTGTGATGCTTAAAGAACACGTTTTCTTAAGTACATGTTTTAGAATTATTTGAAAAATATGCGAGTAAGTTCATACATACATATGTATGTTTTCAAGATCAAATTTTAAAAACATATTATGTTTTAATAATGAACGACGGCTCAATGTAAAGCCACAATTTAACAATCAACAACTAAGCTTTTTTTGCGAAATCACCACGAAACTGTGTATTTATGAATACTAACGGTTTATAAGGACATCTCGAGACGTTGCGGGGCTGCGGGATACAGAACAGCAGCCCCGCAGACGCATAGCAGCTATGAGGGTGGTGCTGCTTTCAGTGGAATGGGCGAGAAGAATGGTCTTTCTACTCTTTGTATAAAAATTCAAGACTTACAAAATACAAAATATCATATATAAATCTATTATTTCATATTATGTCAAATGAATTACCAATAACAATATCAAGTTTTATTTACTACAAAATATTTTAATTAATTCATATAAATTGTAAAGTACACAATATCAACGTCTAGAGTTATATTAGTCTTATTTCTTTATATATGATACTTATTATAATTTAAAATTATCCCAAAGGTAATGTCTTAAATTTAAATTTTATTATTTATAAACATATTATAATATAATTAATTTGCTTATTTATATCAATTTCAAAATTTCTCATTTAAATTATTAATTTAACATGAATTATAGTATTAATATCTTAATAATAATTATTCTACAATAAATGGATGCTCTGTTCCATCCTGTACATCATTTAGTTCTGTGTATGACTATATAATAAATCAATATTCTTTCATATTATATTCACATTTGTTTAACATTTATGTATTATTTAAAACAATATAAGACTATTATTAAAATCAAATGACAATAAAATTGATTAATTACCATTAAATAATGAAAATATTTAGAAATAAATACAAGTAATTCTTTATAACATTTATTAAAGAATACTCAGAATTTTATTGAGTTTATGTAAAACAAAAATTATGTAAAGCAGTAAAATCCTAAGTTGCCAGATACATCATAATGGTCTTCAGGAATTTCGGCTCATCACCGCATACTTTTGGGGATAATAACCCTCCCTGCGTTTTTATTGCAAGTATCCCAATATTATATTTTAGGCCAAAAGGGTTTCAATAAGCAAATTATGTGTTAGCAACGTGATATACTGCAGGGGAATCAGCATATTCAGCAACCAGGCAGCTATATGGACATTAGAGTCAGAAACATCTACTTCTAGAACGGTCCGAGAGTACAGATCCCTTCTCGACGAGATGGTGAATCAGTTCCAAATTGACCTGATTTCGTTTCCGTGACAAAACCCAATCAAAGGAAATTGCAGAGCGAATGGGCTCATGAGGCATGGGACAACTCTTGAGAAAAGTGGGACCTAGGGATGTCTATGAGTTTGTAAAAATTTTTGCTACTCAACGCGGCAATTGAGCATCATTGATGGCCGAACGGAACTACATGCGATCAAAGGCTTTATCTGCATCGCACCAGAGATTTTTTGTCTTACCGCTCGAGGGACAGTAGTGCTGTGATGGGGATCATAACGGAACTTTATTAACGAACATATCGTAAGAATGAGTCATTACTTATACTCAATACTTACACTCAATTTAAAGCTTTATAATGTTAAACTTAAAATGTGCTATTTTAAAAATCATGAATTTCATTGACTACATTGTTGTTATTTTAATCAATAAAGCAAAAAATAATAGGAGTAGGAAAGTATACAGAAAAAACTTTACACAAAAAGAAAAAACTGCAATATTTTTTGCACTCTAACATACTTTGTTTTTATAGGTATGGTGCGCCGTAAACTACCTATTAAAGTGTAAGCTTTCTATATAAAATATAAATGTTTGCTTGTATGCACTTGTATTAGTAAAATATGCAAATTGGATTACTTACTGTGAATTTTTTCTGACCGCATTCAACTCAGCTTTCATAATATTATTTTTGATTTTTTTTTTCTCTCTTTTCTTTTATTATTTTTCTACA